TATATTTTCGTTTTTTCACAAAGCAAGAAAATCTCCGAAAAATGATACAGAGATTTTAAAAGTTTTCAGAAGCCGAGTATCTTTTGTTATGGCTCGGCAGCGACGGCTGCTCAGCCGAACAGCTTACATCGCTACATTCAAGCACGCAGTGACATACACTCACACCGGCACACACACACTGATCCGCCACACGGTCCTTTATTCGGTGGATCACTCTCATGCATAAAACACACATTCTATCTACCCAAATCTAATCTCACAAACTCTTATGAATTTACATTGATATTTTGTACTCGATGATTTCTGTATTCGACGACATAGAGATTGCTGTGTCGATCGAATGACAAACCGATGGGCTCATTGAATTGGTTCGATTGTCCTCCTCCACCGTTTCCACCAACAATGACACTTCCCTTTGTGACTCCTTTGGGCCAACGCATTATTCGATGATTCCATTTATCAGCCACATAGACAGTGCCCAATTGATCGACAACGACTCCTTCAGGATGTGACAACTGTGTAAGACCGTTTCCTTCTCTTTGACCACCAGCCACGACAATGCCTTGTTTTGCACCTTCCACCCATTTCATCACACGATGATTTCCGGAATCAGACACGTATACTGAATGATCTCGATCGACGAATACATATTGTGGGTTAGAGAGTTGATCGAGACGATTTCCACTTCCATTGCCACCTGCAACCACTATTCCTTGAGATTCTCCTCTTCGATATCGTCTCACTTCATGTTTTCTATCGTCAACGACATAGAGAGATCCATTCTCGTCCATTGTCAAACCGCGACAATTGATGTTGGAGATGATTGTTTCTCCAATTGTCCTCTTTCGACGAGGTCATCGCATCACTCTATTATTCGAACTATAGCAGATCATTAGTGTTAAAACTTTTCAACCAAAAACGACAATCTTGAAAAAGTTCGACTTTTATCGAGAACTTTTTTTCAAAAAAACGAGAAAGAAAAGACGCGGAGCAACCCAGGACTGGTTTTGACCTTGCTCAAGGGTCTCTTCAGCTGGGTTATGGTATGAACATGGTGAAAAAAATGAATGCAGGTACTTACGTGTCATTGTTAATTAAATAATAACAACTAATCTTGTTTTAAATTCGTATTTAAGAAGAAGAAACTAAAGCACATTTCTCTATGGATAAAAAGAACTCGTGTTCTTCTATCCGAAAAAGACGAAATAGAGCACAAGTCTGTGTGTGTATATCGCTATGAATAAAAAGAATTTTTTGTTCCCTCTATCGGAAAAGAAGAAAATAGAGCACTTGATAGCCTCTTTTCTCGAAGAAAACACATCCTGCTTGAAGAAGAAATTCGCACTCGCCCGACAAGAGTAAAAGAAGAAAGAACACCTTCGAGTATCCCGGGTGGCGTCATGATAACATCTTCATTTTTTTGCATCGATTTAAGCCGCCAAACAGAACACATCGAAAATAAAACTTTGTCATTTAAATCTTTATCATATTCTGTCAAATTAGTATAGAATGTTTTTGTTATTGTCGTTGTATCAATATATAATTCAAATAAAACACTTTCAATACCATTTTCAATGACATTGCTACGAGTGGATACATTAGGAGAAATGTCATTTATTGTAGTCAAAAGAAATTCATTTATAGATATAAGACAAAGACAACCCATATTATAATTTAGTTTTTGTAACATCTATTTCAACAAGTATTGACTTCGATACAATCATAATGTCTCAGCAGAAGAGATAATCTTTTGATAATTGATTTGATAATTACACCAATTGTCGATGTAGATCATTTATGTAGAAACGAAGTGCATAAATCAGTTCCACATTATCTTCTGAGAAAGCTGTGCAAAGAGGTTTGCTAAACGACCTATCTTTTACGAAATAACTAATAACTTGATCTGAATGGTAATTTTTTCTGCAAGTTATCATACTTCTGTAGTTCATAATTAGCGTGTTTGTAGCGATGTCGATAAAGGAGCATTTCTTCAAAAGCATATGAATTATAATTTGGATCAAGAAGCGCTTTAGAAAGCGATTGGAATAAGAGAGCGTTTAAATGCGCGGAATAAGCGTTTCTTCACTCATAGAAGATAAATTAGTTTTTTGAAGATCCGAATTAAAGATCGAAAATGATAACCAACAGTTTCCAGTATTTGACCAAGTATCTAATGGACTCATTGAATCTATAGTATACCAAAGATTCATCAGTGATTTGTATAAAAGGTAACATTTTTCATGATTTTTGATACGACCATAAAGTCAGTCATTTAATTTTCCATTAATAATAAATACAATTTTGTCCACAATGAATTTACCATCTAGATAAGCTGTAAAAGCATCAAAATTGGTAAAAACTTGAATATGACCAAAAGTCTCATTAAGACGAATGATATGATATGATAAAATGTTAGTCCTATGTTATCGATGAGTTGTCGTATTTTCTCTATATATAAAAAAGAAAATCAAGTGTTTCTACGGCATATTTATATATGTTAGCGTCCAATCTAACGACGGAACCTCTTGAGGTTATAAATCGACTCTCACCCTCACCTTCAGGTGAAATATTCGAGTCTCAATATCTCAAGGCAGGAAAATTCATTAGGATCGAATTTTTTCCCATCGTACTACTATGACCATGGGCTACCAGTGTGGCAAGTTTCAAGTCAAAATTCGAAAGTCGGATTTTGCTCG